TTTAAGATACTTAGTTTTTTCTTATTTACATTTTTGGACTCATGTAGGACTTTCCTGGTAGAAGTCCCTCATGAAATTACTTAAAAGTCCTGAAAAGTCTTGCAAAACCAGGAGGAAAAATAAAATAAGAGCATTAGTATATACACTCATTCTATCTGCATGAAGATACAAGCATGCCTGTACAAATGCAATTCCGAAACAAATTACATTTACTATTTATAAGGAAAAAAATGTATGGCACAATAATAAAGCTGCTGTTCCATCAGGCTGAAAATGATGCTGACTTTGTGTGTGAACCTATCAACCTTTAATCCTCTTAAATGGTATGTCATTTCCCCTCAGAGTGTGTCAGATCCCTTACCAAGGACCATTACCTTAATCTTCTGTGCTTGCACTAATATCTGTAGAAACACATAGGACTCTCTCCCTTCATCAGAAGTGTAGTGGGCCTGTGACAGGAAATCCCACAACTGGTTCTACTGTAACCTAGTCTTCTGCCCAGTTATTGAATTAAATATAAATTATTGAAATTTTGTCTATACTGTCTCCGGAGGAACTTAAAAGATATGTAGACATGGTGCTTAGAGCCATGTTTTAGTGGTGGAATTGGCAGTGATAGGTTAATTGGTTGAACTCAATCTTAAGGGTCTTTTCCAACCTAAATGGTTCTGTGATTCTACTTCTGTTTAATTTTAGATTATAAGAATGGTTTGGGGTTTTACGTGAGAGGGGTTAATTTAAAGCCCAAATATTACTTCAAATCACAAGTCTTAGGCTTCTCCAAGCATTTGCTTTTTTTTATTTATTCTTTAAAAAAATCCCAACTCTAAAAACTCAAAACCACCAAACAAAATTGAAACCATCTCTCATCCAGAGCTGAAACTCAAATTCTGATTCCCCATATAAGCACATAACTCTCAGTAACTCAGAGAGCTGCATCCAAAAGCTGAATTTGATTCAAATATGGTCTAGTACAAGCACAGATTGCTGCCCCATTGTTTCCTCAGCCTTAGTTCCTTGAAATTTTGTGCTGTAGCAAGGTCAAGGCCTTTGCCTGCTCAGAATGGACACATGGCTTGTGCTTTTCGACTACAAGAACAATCTCCAGCTTTAATCTAATTATGGACACCTCTAAATACTGATCTGAATTCATAAGGAGGTAAATAGGGATCTAAGTACACAATTACACTCTACAAAAGAGGCTGGATGACCTTTTGACAGCCTCCTCATTGGATCTGAGGAACAGGCAGCACAGGATCCTACCAGGCAGAACTTCTCACATCCCATTGTCAAAGTCATCCCTGAACCCTCATACCTTACTTATTCAGTATATTTTTAAAACAGTTAAGCCTTGGTCTACACAAGCTGCTTTTCTTTCCCACCTTCCCAACAGCAGCGGCTAAATTATCAGAAAACATGAAGACTACCATGTTTCTAGTAATTATTTAATTAGTATGTGCTCAGTCATGGCATTTCATGTGTTGCTTTCTCAGTCTGTGCAAGGAACAGGTGATCTCAAAATTATATCCAAAACAATCTTCAAAATTTCAATAAGATTTAAATTAATCCTGATCAGTTGCAGACGTTTCCATCTATCTTTAACCCATTCCCATTTATTTTTGAATATTTAGGTAACATCCACCATACCATAATCTGGGACAGAAATTTTAAGTTCAGTGGTATCAGTGAAGTTCCTTTTCCTTACAGATTCTTGTCACCAAAGGGAAAAAAAAAAAAAAAAAAAAAAGAAGGGGAAATAACAAGAGGAAAACAAGTCTGTTTTCATGGGGAATAAAAATCCCGCAAAACACAGTTTCTGTAGATGTCCATAATAATTAGAAGGAATATTTAAGAATAAATTTAGGAGGAAGAACTGATAAGTAGGAAAGAACAAAAGCTGTTTTCTAAACTACCCTTCCAAAAGAGTAAGTCGAGAGAGAATTCCTGGCTACTGTTGATTTCCAGACAAATGGTAACACTCTGGGAAATAGCCCTAGAAGAAGGGACCTGAGCAGAAACAAACAGTCATTCCTTAGCACTCAACAATAAACTTTCTGGATTTCTCAGCTTTATATGTAGAAGTCACATTTCCCTTCTCTTCAGTACTCATTAAAGTAACTAAAATTTTCGTGACTCATATTTAGGCATTTTTCTGGTAGCTCAGTCTGGTTTGAACCAAGTCAAACCTCCTAAGCAGAAATTCACAACTAGGAAACATTAGAGTGAGACAATGCAGACTTTTGGAAAAAGGAAAGTAATGTCCTCAAGAAATAACTTGTACCTTGAACGCACTGAACCACCTACAGCCCTTAAGTAAACATATGTTTCCACCTTATTTTCTCTCCTAGGTACAAAGCTATTTCTTGATGAGTACAGGCAAACAAGTTCATGTGAAGCACTCGGAAACTGCTCAGTCAAGATGACAGGCAGTCACATGTGGGTGAGCCCTGGAAGCAGAGGAGGCAATGCCATGCCTAAGGCTGCCACTTATGGTCACAAGCCCTGCAAGCTGTGTTAGGACTGCAAGAGGAAAACACTGAATTACACCAAAGATGCTGGAGAAATATGGAACTAAGGAGACATCTGATCCATTATGATTTAGGTTAAATGCGGTGAGAATAAGGAGAATATATTCCACTCTGAAAGGATCTGCAGAACAAGAATACCACAGCAGCAAGGTACAAAAAAATCTAGACAACAATTACTTTTGACTTCTCAGATCTTCACTGCTTAACACTGAGTTTAAAGCTTATGGGACCACCTCACTGCCAGCTGTGATGTACCTTCAGTAAAATTTATTCACCTATTCACCAGCACTTCAGTTTTAGTAAAATGCAGCCCTGCAATAAATACACCCAACAGTCATTAAAAAAACCCTAAACAATCACTATGATCTTCCAAAACCAATATATCAGAAACCCTCTTCGATGACATATTTAATATGACTTTTCAGCACCCTCCTCATTGCATATGGATAAGATTGTCTGGCTATACTGTACTTCCAAACCTTTCTTTATCTCATTGCACATGCAGACCTATTCAGAAAGTACATGCTGGCTCCTGGAACTGCAAACCAGCTGACATAATCTTTGAGTTGTAACAACCATTGAACTTCCTGAAAGACAATCAAGACCAATTTAGTTTCTGAAATAAAACCCGCATCACACAGAAAAATCATATTATTATAAAAGATGCCAGGATACACCACGCAGAGAGAAACGTCAGCTTCCCACAGCAGCAAAATAGGGGAAAAAACAAACCTGATTTGAGAAAGTACCAATCCCTGAAAGCATCTTCCTAAAATAATGTTTTTAGCTTTATGGCATACTTCTACATAATTTTTGTTGTTGTTTTGTTTGTTTGTTTTTATATTTATTTTGAACAAGCTGTAATCACTTGTTAATAACAACGCAACAAGATGAGTTTGCAGTTTCATTAATATGATGCCGTGGACACTGGCATTAAGGCTCTCCTTTATCATTCATTGAATTTAGTGGAAAATTTCTAAGTTTAGATCATGGACACCAAGCTCTTGAGAGCCACAACAAGAAAGAGATCATTCTGTCTCCCTGAATTGTGAATGCATTAGGATATGTGTAGGGGAGGGAAGAGGGAGCAGGGGAGGGCAGGGGAAAGGGAAGGGAAAGGTCCCTGGTCTGAAGGCCAGACTGTCCAATACAGACTTTTAATTCACTTCTAGTCTGAATTTTCTGAAAGCATGAATGGCCAGTTTTCTCCCAGAAACATTTTATTCCATATGTTGCTGTGTTCTTGTCTACTATTCAAGTACAGTTATATGACTGCAGAACTACTGACAAAGAATATAACTTCTGTGGTTTCTTTCTTTTACACCTCCAAAAGCAGGTATTTGCACGCTCTTATTCTCATGAAGCCCTATTTACTGCTTGAATCCTTGTTTTCTACAACTTAGCATGCATTTCTGATTCTTACAAAACCCTTCTACTTATTTTTGGTTTGTTTTCTTTTTTTTTTTTTCCCCTCCTCAATTTGCAGTTTGAGCTTTAACAGTTAAGTGACATTTTTAAATACAGCTATATATGTCAGTCCAAGAAAATTCAAACAAGCAATCCACCACAATTATGTATTCATTAGCACTCATTATTTACTCTGAGATCACGCAGCAGCAAAGATCCTTTGGTGTGACCGTTCTCCCCTCCAGATACTGAAGAAACAGTCCAAATTTACAGCCTGAATTTCCTGGTTAGATGAAAAACACATACATCCATTTGGGCCACAATAGAGTAAATGAGCTTTCTAATCCTTTTCCACATCCCTCTCCAAACCTTGCCTTTGCCAGTTATCTTTTAAGTGCAAAGATCAGAACATAAACCTCTTATTACCTGTTTAACTCCAAAATACCAGATACTTAAAAATTGTTTCCAGCCAGCTGCCCTAATAAGTATGACTTTCTCACTGTTAATTCCATAGACACTGCATGATATCCATAGGTACTGAGGATGCTGCATTCTGCTGCAGCATAACAGACAGTCAAGATACAAAAATACATCTCCCAACAGGGTGATGGTGCAGGCTGGGGGCTGCCCCTCTGTATTTCCAAGGCACTTTTGAACAATCTAAGCAGCACAGAGAAAACCCTTGCCCTTGGGAGGGCAACAGCCACCCATCACTGCAAGAACAGGAGAGAAACACTCGTCACGAAGTGGCTCCGTTGCTGAGTAAAACCTGCTCACAGCAGCTCCTTTGTAAAGGTTTTAGAGTGCCTTTCCTTTCTTAGAATTACAGGTCTGCAGTATAATCTCCAAGAAAAGGTGGGCAATGGGGAGACTATCAGTATTCCAAATATTCCAATTCATTCTGCTCAGCAGTCAGTGTTAAGCTTCCCTTAATATTCTTGCATAACCTGCAGGAATCAGGACCAGACTGAGAAGCACATTCAAAGACACTCAACACCTCAAGTTGCCACAGACCTGTGAGACCTTCCAAGCAATAAAAACAAGTTTTTGATACATTTCCCTTACCTCTAAGGATGTAGTTCTGATAATTCTGGTCAGCCTCTGCTCCCACTTTGATTAAGCAAGTCAGACCTTCAGCGACAACAAACTCATGAACCAAGTCCTTGTCATCCTGTCACAGGAGAAAGAAAAAGCTGGATTAGAATTTTGAAAAACAAACAAACAGGATATATCATAGTATAAAACCAAACTCATGCTTGCAACATTGACTTTATGTTTCCCACGATGCAAGCATGAAAGTTGTTATACAGAAGACTTCTGTTTTAAAATCAGAATGAAATACATCAGCACAAAGCATAAAAAACCAAGATTTTACCTTTTGGTCAAGCACAGAAAATCAAAATCTGTAAAATATGAATTTTGATATTTTCCTTAAAGCTTGAAAACATTCTCTGAGCTACTATAATCTCATCATATCACATAAAAAAACATCCTTAAAACCCTAAAAGGTCAGGCTTAACAAGAGAACACCACCTCAATGCCTTAGCATCATTCCAGTTTCAGTATTTTAAGTGCATACAGCACAACTTTGAAACTGGTTTTATGGCAATGTAATATCATATCAATTAACATAATATTAATTAACTATATTAATTGATTATATTTAGAATGGGAAAGTATAGCGTTGAAGATAAGAACAGTAGTAGATAATGTTCCCACACTGTGATGGAAGACACAGCAAATGTAAGAGAAGTGACTTGCTTCACTTCTCTTGCTTCAAATGACTCACTCAACTTGCTGACATAACTCACTGTTTTGTAACCATCATCAGTCCTTTACTCAGTGCAGCAGAATGACCCATATCACAGATGTATGTGACATCAGGGAGAGGAGGGGTTTCCTGGGCCCTACATACATAACTGCTGTGCCAAGGGACTTCAGAGCATCGTATCTACAGCTTGCCTTCTCCTCTCACAGAAGGCTCATATAGACAAACAAGAAGCTACTAAAAACTGGATTAAACAGGAGTTAATGAATTAGTCATGCAAACTAGACACAAAAACAACTTACGATATTAATGGAGAACTACTCAGCAGACCATCACAGCTGCTGAGTCCATTAAGTATCCTTAATTTATGTTTTCATACACAGCAGTGTAACAGATATAAATTTCAGCTTTCTAGTAATGCAGCCCTGAGAAGCCAAGATGTACACAGTAGATTTGATGAGAGTGATTTCTGAATTCGCTGCAAAGAATTTCACACTTAGAAAACTGCAAAGGGAAATAAAATAATCAAGTCCCTTTTATGGTGTGACAATTCACTTACTGCAAGTTTATTTCAGTCTGACAGTTTATTTCTTACAAATTTCATTCTTTCAACAGAGATAATTTACATAATTTTTATAGACTGACCAAATGGGATATTTAAAACTGTAAGGTGATCTAGCAATTTCTGAGAAATTATGAGAAAAAAATCCGTTTAATGTTTCAGCAGGTCAAATTTGTTAAAAAAAAATTAAAAATATTATAAAGTCATCCATAGACACACAAATTTATCACATGACGAAGGTGATTTATCCTTTAAAAAGCATATAAAGAGGAAACATACAATCATCCTCCACATCTTGGCAAAAGTATATCTTAAAAGCCTACAATATATAAGATAAAATTCACCACTGTGCACACTTGACCTATTTTCTTTTTATTTATTTCTTAGTCTTAATGGTTTGCATTTTGAGAGTGCTAGTTTTTGAGTTTTTTTTTCTAGTAGATACAAGAGTTAAGAAGTTTACAAAGTCCTGTGTCAGACCAGGGCGCTACAGATACAAGCACACAATTTCATGAAGACAACAAATTTCCTCTATTCATTTGCCACACTCAAAAGACAGTGAGATTAATAAAGGGGTAGCAGAAGGGGACATTGCCAATCTACCTGTTAGACAGTACTAACAGGCAGCACAAATTAACTAATTACGCACTGATTTCTGCACCATTAGGTGCAGAACCCCCACCCTGCAGCCCACCAGGGAATTCCCTTTGACATATTAGACAAGAACAGAAGAATTAAGATATCTGTTTATATTGAGCAGCTCAGGACAGCTTTACAGAAGAGAATCGTTGGCTGGCACTGAGGCTGATGTATGTTTGGCCAAGTAGCCAATCTAAAGAGCATGTCCTCATGCATGGGATGGGGCCTGGAAAGGGCATGGTCAGCCAAGGCACATGGACCTCTGACTGTCCCATCCCACACAATGACCTGTGGGAAGGCCCTTCCCAAATGCCACCAGTCAGAGGACTGAACTCTGAATTCTGATGCAATTTATATCAGTGTAGCAAGTGATGACAAAATTCACATGGTGAACTTCCAGAACAACATCTTACAACAAGTCTTGGAAAAATAAGGAAAGGACCCAAGATAAAATGCTCTCTGATTTAATATCAAGTAGCTGTAAATAAATGCAAAAATAAATATGCATGCATGCAATACACAGATCTAAATCACACTGGATAGCAAGCAACATTCCAGGCTCACTTTACATGGAGCGCAACCTTCAGCAGTGCAGGGATGTAGAACCATACCCAGGGAACCCAGAGGATTCTCCTCCATGGCTGCCAGGCAACTGCTCCCTCCCATACATCCCTTTGTTATGGTGCTTTTAACTCAAAGATACCTGAACAATTTCTTGTTCTTCAAGAATTTTGAATTTTGTTTCTCCCAAAACTCAAGAGAGGAAACAAATCCATGGAATCTGTCAGCTAAGTTTAATGGAAAATGTCTTAAAGGTTCAGGTAAACTAAGGCTATGCATCATGGTAATTCATAAAGACTTTGCATGCCTAGAAGATAAGTTCTATATGTCAAGATCAATGATTAAAAATTCCCTGCTACTAAAGAAAGAAGGTGCAAATTTCCCCTACGCAGAGTGGGCAGTAGCAGGAGCAAGGGTAAGAGACAAATAATGACAGGACTACACAGAATTTAGAAAAATAACAGAAACTGGTAGAATTGTGCAGAATCAAGAAAGCTGTGGGGAAAACACCCTTCAAAATAGTTTTTCTAAAAATCAGATGACAAATAGGTGTATATTTAGACAACACAGTTGTCTAATTAAAGAGAAACAATATATATAACAATCAAATTAATGAGTGAAATAGTAACCATTTTTTCCAGATGGCATTATCCTAGCTCAAAAACATTTCCTTGTTCTTTAAATACCTTTTGTTGATACTGAAGTACGTTTGCATCCTCCTTGAGTTAAGGAAAAAAATAATCTATTCTAGATTGCCACAGTGAAATAAAAAAGACTGAAAAAACAGGAAAAGGAAGAATAATTGTGGTCTTTGGATTCTGACACTTATCAATAGACCTACCATACCTCTTTGGGAAAAATAAATGGCATTCATATGATCAAAAAAAAAAAAAATTGTCCATATATGAGAGAAGATAACAGTAGTGAAGCTTCAGAGTCCTTCAGATTAAACCCCAAAACCAAAATTTTTAACTGCATTATCCATTAAAGGCTGTTGACATTCAGCAAATGATAAAAACTGAAACACCTATTATACCTTTAGGATGTCCTCCATAATCTTAAATAGTGAATGCACATTAGTGCATCACCTGAGGAAAAATTAGAAATTAGCATTTGATTGTCAAAATAACCAAGCTAAAAATCTGGTTTTATGTTGATGATTTTTTTTTTTTTCAAAGAAGGATGTTTCCAAAACAAATTTTGAGATCTGCCACCTTGAACTTTTTCAATGCAACTGAGTCATAGAGTCACCCTTGACTGAAAGGAGATATACTGCAGATGAACAGCAGAGGAAATGAAGGGGGATGAGGAACTCTAACCAGACTGCTTTGGGAGAGCATTTAATAAACAAATCAAACCTGAATTAAAAAAGGCTTTTAAGGTACTTCTCTTTTCCCAAATAGAAGGGAAAAAGAAGGTGTAATGAAACAGAGTACAAACACATCATGCTCTAGGCATAAACCTGAACTCAGTACATTATCTATACAGTCATGTATATATGATGAGAGGAAAGAAGCAAACATCTGGAATGCGCAGCGAAAGATGAAAGGCATTGAAGCCCATACGTTCTACACTGAAAGGAGAATGTTTACATCAATTTTGGTCTAGGATAATCTTTTCAGACCCATTAACTCACTGACTTGCCAAGTTAGGTGACCTCAAGAGTAAAGGGTACTTTCTAGCAGTGGTAAGAGGTTCAGGTTTCCAGGAAGAGAACATTCATTGTACAGAATATATGGCAAGTGTGTGACAATGGTACATACAAGTATCTGCCACATGTGTGTGATAACAGCTAGAAGGAGGCAGAGAAATGTTGTCATTTGCTATGGAAATGGACTCCTCTGCTAATATTGCAAAGATTTATGATCCCTTAATCAGCAGGCATTAAGGCATTGATGAGAAAAGCAGCAAAACACAGGCAAAGCTCTCTAAGCTTCCTGCTAAGCTCCTGTAACCATAAAGATTGTGCAGTGAACACAAAGGATGGCTACTTAAAGTCTTTATGAAAACGTACCATCATCCCCATAAGAAACCATATTTTACTCATTTATTCATGGACTTGAAATAGAACATCTTTCTTTACGCATCTCAGAGGAAGAAAAAACAAAATAATATATGTCTGTGCAATAAATGTCTATTTTTGTGCAACGTGTAATGAAGAAAACCTCAAATATACTCATTCTGGTGAGTTTAAAGCCTGCTTATGTGGTTGACAAAATGCACAAATCATATTTCACCTCCATAACTCAGCCTACCTACTAAAAGAACCCCATAAACTCTGTGATCAAGCAGTCTGTAAACTATGCTCATGTGCCACTAGCAGAAGTAGTGTGTGGGGGGAATGTCTCCTTTCCTACCCATTCTCTTATCTTGTACCATTCAATATATTCTCTAATGTGGTTTTACAGGGTCTTACCTGAAGATGGAGACTGAAGACTTTTTTCCAAGGAATGGCACTTTGCAAGAATGCATTTTATCTGACCTGCAGCTTCCACGTGCAAGGATAAATTGTTTATATACTGTTAAAGATAAATCTTTCTGAAGCCTGCTATTTCTGTGGGCCATATGTTTGAAAGCTTTTACCCAAAGCATGATTATTTTAAGAAAGTTGCTTTGTTTCCTAATAAGAATCGAGGTTTTG